TTTTGTTGCAATTGTAAATGGGATGGTATTCTTAATTTCTCTTTCTGCTACTTCGTTGTTAGTGTACAGAAATGCAACTGATTTTTGTATGTTGATTTCCCATTTGGCTGGTAGGAGTCAGAAGTTTCATTTCCTCCATTAAATGTGACCCCTCAGGCAAACTACTTTCATTCAGTTTCTTAGTTTCTTTATTAAGTAAGGTGGTGATGATTCCTCTGTTACATCTCTACCCTAGAGGCTCTCTGTAGTGTAAAACTCTTGTTGCCTTCCCACTATCTAGTCCCACTTCTGGTGGCAACACTTCAGTTCCCCCAGTTTCCCTGGAGAAGTAACTACCTCTCTCCCACTGAAGGTGGGCTTGGTTGGAATGTCAATCAAGGTGCTCTGATGCCCCCTGGCTGACCAGTTGGCCCAAGACCCAATTTTGTCCAACCAGATTTTCTCTCCCAGGAAAATAAATCTTGAGGCAAGTGAAGCAGAGACTGAAAATAGATGAAGTCGATTCATCTGGTATGGGTGACCCAAAAAGTCTGTCTGTTAGTTCCTGCTCCCTGAGCGATCCTGATTCCTATGCTTTCTGAAACCTGGTTTGTCAGCTTTTCCTTGGGATCTATGAACAACCTCATAGCCTTCTAATAAATTCTTTCTTTTGCTTGTGAAAAAATAAATAAATAAATAAATAAAAAATAAAAAAAATAATAAAAGGCCATCTAGTATAGCTCCAAAGGCTACAGAAAGACAACACTTAAATGACTAGGGCATATAGCTGTATTTGCTTAAAAGTCTGGAACAAATAATATTCTGATTTTATTCATTCATTCATTCTGACATTTCTCTAAAAGTTCTTCCTCATATCAGGACTAAGACCCCTCTATTGCAATGGGCCCTTCTAGCTAACCTCAGAGAATATGTAATAATGCTAATTTCTTTTACTCTGTTCATTTGAGTAGCGTGGAGTCAGGACTTCTACTCTCAACCATCTTCTCTGCAGATGAAATACGCGTAGTGTCCTTGGCTCCCAAACTATATTCCTGATCTAGACATTTCCCCTTTTTTCTCACAGAGCATCTCCACATTTTCTTTCTTTCATTGTATTCACTGAGATTTGAAATAACCAGGTCCAAACTTGCTCCCTGCTTTTATTTTGGGGGTATGAATGTATGTGAAGCGCCAATATAAATACAGACATATTTGTGGAAGAATTAAAGTGTATGGAAAAATTTTTTAAATAAAAGGTTATAGGCCATATATTCCAAGATAAATGGTGTTCATAAATTGTTATTGCATTCCGAACATTAGCATCATGTTTTAATTTATTTTAGAACTCTCTGATATCAATATATATGTTTATATTTTAATTATCAACCAAGATGACACCGTCTTTAGATATACGTTGTCTCACTTATACCATAGGATCCTACCTGAGTACTGACTAAACTGAAGGTTTGGCATTTTAAATAGCTTCATCACATTAACATATACTCAAATTGGGTGGACAGTACCAAACTACAGCAGACACTCCTTAGGAAAGAGAAATCACTGAGGAAGGCTTACGTGGGAGCATACTACTGGAAAGCAGGAGGTTGAGAGTAACAAGTTTCCAGATCCTTACCTGATGTCTGTACATGTTATGCAGGTGATGTCTCGACTATTTGTCGTGATCAGGTTCAAAGCTACTGATGTTTCCTTGTCAGTGGTCGGGTGTGCTCCACATTTAAAGAAAAATTCCTGAAAGAATGAGAAATACAATCACAAACATGGAATCTGGCTGGTTATTTCCCCCTCTCTAGACATTTCCACAGTAAACTATCTCTTCAGGCAAGAGAAGAAATCTATCATTAGGTATGAGTTATAAATAAGTCAGAATCAAATCTTTTCAGGGAAACTAATGCCCTTGTGTCGAACTAGTCAACAATTCCCTTTTTGACAGGTCCTCGCATCTGTGCTAGTCGTTCCTTCTTTGGCTCTTCCAGCCACGGACCGGGGGAAACACTCTGTGCCCCTGGTTTAGCAATGCCCCTTGGTGTTAAGCGAGTTTAGTGGAATAACACAATGTGGATGTAGAAGGAAGCCTGAAACAGTATCTCACAAATGAGGAAAGGGAGGCGCTGAGCCATGAAATGATTTGTCCAAAGTCAAACAATCAGAGGCGAAGCCAGGACGTAACCCAGGCTTCCTAAGAGAAACCCAGTGCTTTTCCTATAGTGTCCCTACACAGTTGGCCGGTTAGCAGCAAGGATGTGGAGCAGAGGAAGGAGCCGAGGGATCCCTCCTATAAATAAGCACGCAAGCACACACAGACTCACAGAGGAGTAGAGGGTGGCTCTCCTCAGCCTAATTCAGAGCCTCTTTCTCTTTCTCTTCAGCATCCCAGAATTCCCTGGGAGATGTGGTCCCCACCCCCCACGCCAGGCAGCTGGGAATGTTCTAAAGCTGTACCTCTCTCCTCCTTAGATCGTTTTCCCAGCCTTGTTCTGCACACACGCCTTTATTTTAGCTTTTCACATAAGTCACATTCTTTTGATTGATAATATTTTCCCTTCTCAATCAAAATCTTTTTATTTTTCTTCATTCCTTCCTTCTGTTATTTCTGTATTTGTTCACACACCCTTTCTACCCTTCATACACCAAGGTGTTTGGCCAGGAATTGCTCTGCTTCTTGCCAAATAGTCTCTACCCCTTCCATGATAATAACACCCACGAAGCCAAATTTTCTGCGACTGCAAAAATTCTATACAAATATATCCCCGGATGACAGAAGAACACTTGCACATGACACTTACTCCTTTACTTGTGAGCAACAACTTGGGATGTGCAAAGTATTTTCCCTTTAAACACTAGACCTGGTGTCAACAAACTTTTATTAAAGCACCAGATAGTCATCGGCTTTGCTGGCCATGTGGTCTTTGTCATACTTCTCAACTCTGCATCGTAGGCTAAAAGCAGCCACAGACAATATGTAAATGAAAGGATGTGGCTGTGTCCTAACAAAACTTTATTTATAAAAACGTGGCAAATTGAATTTTGCCCACAGGCCATATATCATCCACCCCTACACTAGACTCTGAGATATTTGTGGAATGTCTCATTCATATTTGTATCGTAACAGTGCCTGGCAGAGGTTATGCATTAGATATATTTTCTTAAATGAAAAATCAATAGATTTATTTAATAAATGCTACTAGGGTCCCTTTATACATTTGACAGCACCACCCTTAATTTGTTCTTTCCCTACTTGTAACCAAACTAACCTCATTCTCCTCTGACCTGAGACACAGTGAGCAACTCCTGTGGGTCTCAAACTTCAGTGTGCATCAGAATCAACTGGCAGGGGGTTGCTTGTTAAACTAGACATTGCTGGACCCCACACCAGAGTTTCTAATCTGATGAGGGGCCAAGGGTTTGCATTTCTAACACGTTGCCAGGTGATGCTGTTACTATGGCTCTGGGGACCACACTTTTGAGAACCACTGAGTTATTCTAATATTACAGTAAAGGGAGTAAACTCAACTTATTCTTCAGAAGATGACAGTTATACCAGACCTCACTTATCGCATCTAAAAATAAGGCCATATCTCAGGTAAAATGTGTTACTCTCCAAAAATCTGGAGTGTGCCACTGTACAGAGAAGTATCCCAAAGCCAGGTGTTTGGAACCTAGGTTGTTCTTAACTACAAGTGTCTTACCAATCCCAGATGGTACAGCTGCTAGTTAGATAGGACCTATCCTACCTCGGGCAAGTGGCATAGTAGTTGACCCACGTCCCTGCAGTTCTCAGCCCCAAAGTTAAGAGTGTGCAAATAGTCTTGCTATAATAGATGGGATGTGCAGTGTATCTGATGGGAGCCCGTTCAGGTACATCTATGGAGTCCTGCCCATGAGCCCAGGTCTTTCCCTAGAGCAGCATGGAAATCATACTGATTGTTTTTGTTTGTTTGTTTGTTTGTTTGTTTTAACATGGAATGTTACCCTGTTCACTCAATCTTTTGAAATTTTACAAATCCTTCAAAGGCCAGTTCAAGGGTATTGAGAAAAAGATTTAAAGCAATTCGTGACCACCAAAACAAAAAGTTTGGAGGACATGACTGACCCTTACAAAATACCTTGAGCTAGCTGCGACTGCTTTTTGCAGACATGAAAAAAATTCTCACTCATAACACAAAGTAATTCCTCCAAAACAGCTGAGTTAGCTGGACTATTGAGAAGGTATTTCATATACAGATAAATAGATAGTATTTATATTTTTTCTTAGCTTGCAGAAAGCTACTGGTAGATGCCCAGCTAACAAATCACAAAATGCTCTAACACCAGATAAAATTCAGCCATATCAAAGTCAAAATCCTATTTATTGGAGGTGGTGTATGTTTACAGATAATAGTATAAAGTTACAGATATTTGAAAAATTCCGGTAATTTGCATGGTGTGATCAAATTAAAATACAAATTACCAACTCTGTATATTAAATACGTATGTCTCATCAATGAATTTCAGTGCTTCCTCCACTAATTTTTATGAATGGAGGTTCTTCTATAGTATTAGAGTAATTGGCAAGAATGGTGGAGGATCCGAGATTTCACCCAGCTTGCAAGCTAACAGGTTAGTCTGCCACAGTCTCATGGATGCTGGCAGAAGACAAAAGACCCTTGGATCAGAGAAAAGGACTGCATGACTCCAAGCCCAGGCAGGAAAAAGTAGGGACATCATGATTACGTCAGTCTCTCTACACCTCAACTCCCACAGGGATGAATGGATCAACGAAGCTAGATGTTACACATGCAGTGGTTCTGCATCACAGCTCAGGACCCTGAGCTTCGGGAACCCAGAGCTTCCATAAGGAACTGTCAGAAAACCTTCCTTTTGTCCTGAAGGGAGACACTGTCTTTATTATACTGGATAACAAGGAGATCTGCTCTACACCTTCCTTGAAAAGACCACCGGGAACAAAAGAGTCGTGAGCACCTCCCTCCCAAGATATGCAGAGACGTGAGGGAACCTCGGAGAACTGCCTGTCAATAGTAACATCACCTTTTCTTACAGACTAATCACGAGCGTGATCTGGTCGTGTCCTGTCCTATAGAATCAGGGGGCTACCATTTTCAAAGTCATTCTGGTATTTCCAGTCTGCATTCAAAACACACAAACAATAAAGCAACACAAAACAGAAGTGAGCAGAATCTTTTTTAAAAATTCTACCTTTGGTATCTCAGCTTGCTCATAAAGGGCTGTCATCTCACAGACAGCTACGTGACTCTTTTGGAGTAACTGTCTGTGAATTCTGCCTTTCTGTGTTTTGTTTCTCTTGATTGTGCTGATTAAAAAAATCAAGGATGCCAAAGCCAGAAAAGTCTTCCCGCTAGAGTCCACGCAGCAGGGTCAGAAAGCTGACACCACCATGAGATCTGGTCACCAGGGGCATGACACCATCTGATCCCCACAGGGGCCCAGGGAACACCTCAAGCTGGGCCTAGTGACAGCAGTTATGTCCCAGGGCCAGGCTGCCCGAGGTGGCATTCCAATGGATTGGGGTTTGACCAACAAAGTTACTTCAACGTCACTAGGGAAACAGTCCTGCGTGGGTACAGCAGGGAAAGATTCTCGTTCATTAGGGGGGCCATATGTCAATCCTTATTCACTAGGGAGGTCAGGATCCTTAAGTGTGGTAAATAAAGAGTTTCAAAGGGGCCCACCCTGCCTTTTACACATCCAGCTCACAGATAAATCAGCTACCAAAACCCAAAATAAAACAAAACAAAAAAAATCAAGTCCTGTTAAATTGAATGAATTCCTCCACCTACCCAGGAGCTGTAGTTCCCACTGGCTGGCTCATTTCATTTGGATCCATATACTCAATTATGAGAAGCCATAAGTAGCTATGGAGCTAAAATCTATGACAGTAATTGGCCTGTTTTTTTCCTCCTTTTTTAAGATAGTTTACACTATCTTAAAAAAAAAAAAAAAAAAAAACTATCCCAGAATAAGATGTTAAAAAATGTGCTTGGCTTCACAATGTGACTCTGTTAAATGTTACAGAAATGTTTTCCACCTTATTAGTACTAAATAGGAAATCCAAAATCCAACAGAGTTGTATTCTGTAAGTTCTTAGAAATGTACTCACATTTTCACCATTTCTGTGCACAAGACTATGATTCTTTCCTTCTGCTCTCACTGAGTTGTTATATTTTATCATAACTCACCCATCCTTTCATTTCAGATCGTAGAGGCCTGACCTTCTAACTGAATCAGAACCCATAAAAATCGAAAGTATACCAAGAAAAAGACCTGTGAGCATTTCAATGCAACTGCTGGTGGCATTCCTGGAAACCACCTCTTCCTCCGAGCTCCACTATGCCACTCGACTCATAACTCATTATCAGTGTCTCTCACAAAGGGGCAACAATAACAAGTATGGAAACAAATAAATAAACCAGCAAAATCTGAAAATTAGATTAATACCAAGAACCCAATTGTATAAAAACTTATAAGATCAGGAGCTTATTAGCAAACTCCAAACACAAATTGATGTGTACCAAACTACTACAAAAATAGCCTGCAACTAACATTTGGAAAGCCCCACTTGTTCCAACCACAATTCAGTTTCACACCTGAAAAAATAGCAGTGAGACCTGACGTCTCCTTTGCTCATGAACCTTCTAACAGCTTTTATTGAATTTCCCAAAGTTAACAATTTTTACAGGTATTGCTTAACAATTAAAAAATTGTGTCTATCT